TAAGTGGAAATTCAAATGTTTTTCAGAAGTCTAACTTTCTGGCTGCCAAGAACCTTTCTTGCCAATCACTTCTGAATAAACATGATGCAAGCCACATTCTTGCTCTGTAGCATTTGATAATGAACTTGTCCTGCAATGGCTCTTGGGCAGGGTGGTACCACTTTATGTGTCAAGCTCTCATAGAAACCCAACTATGCTGGGTGTCGGCACTGCAGGCATCAGAACCACCATGGGAGTGTCCACTGCCAAAATCAGGCTTCCTAGCCTTTATGCTGGCCACTCTAGGCCTTCCTCAGCACCACCAAAGACTGTGTGTGTGTGTGTGTGTGTGTGTGTGTGTGTGTCTATACACACACACATACACATATATGTATGAAATATGACATCTATATATAAATATTTTTGACCACATAAAGTCTTTAAAAGCTCCTGATAAAGATCTTATGGCAGTTTTCTTACCAGTGATGAGTTACCCATTTATTCATACCCTCATTCAGCACTAGTTCAAACTCTAAATTATTGGGGCTGGAGTTATAGCTCAGTAGTGGAGTGCTTGCCTAGTACACGTGAAACACTGGGTTGGGTTCTATCCTCAGCAACACATAAAAATAAATAAATAAAATAAAGGTTAATAAAAAATTCCAAATTACTCATGTATTTATGTGGGATTGAAACCCATTAGCAGGGCCTTCATGAATTTCTCTCTGTCCTTTTTGGAGCCATGTGCCTATGCCCATGGACCTGTTCTAAGAAGCTACCAACATAATTGGAAGTAAGAATGGGACTTGGTTCTCTGAGGCAGAAAAGCTAAATAAGGCCTCATTCTAGCAAAAGTTTCTAAGAAAAGGCTCGAAATGACTCTGGTGCTTTTCACAGATCAGTGAAGCTACTGAGCCACTCCATCTCATCCAGAGCCCTGGTGCAAGGGACCAAAGTTTGTGGCCCAAAAGTCTGGGACCTGGAACCTTCTGTGTGTCTGTGTTTGAGGATGGGGCCTCAAAGGAAGTTTCTGAGATTAACTGAGGGCAAGAGCGTGGGGCCCGATCCTATAGAATTCGTGTCCTCTCACACAGAGCAGCCAGAAATGCCATAAGCTCTCTTCTCATTCACTTGAGCACAGAAGGGGCCATGGGAGGACACAGTGAGAAGGTGGCTGTCTATCAGCCAAGAAGAGAGACCTCATCAGAGCCCGTCCTTCTGGTGTCTTGATCTTGAACTTCTAGCCTCCAGAACTGTGTTAAACAAATGCCTGTTATTTAAGCCTCTCAGACTTTGTATGGCAGTCCCTCCCTCATCTGAGGGGAATACATTTCAAGACCCCCAGTGAGTGTCTGAAGCTGTAAAGAATACTGATTCCTAGATATTCTGGGTTTTTTCTATGAATTCATATCTCTAATAAGGATTGACTTATAAATTCAGCACATATGAAATTAACATCAATAATTAATAATAAAATAGAATAATTATAGCCATATACTATGATAAAGTTGCTTAAAACTCATGACTTATTTTCTTCTGGAATTTTTAATTAAATATTGTCAGACCACATTCGACTGTGTCACAGTAACTGATGCCCATCTTAGGAGTCTTAAGAGACCTAGACTGATCTAGATATTTGCCCCAATCCTCCTATGAAAAATTAGTGCATCTACCCAGCTCTGTATTTGTGCTTGCCTTGTATATGATGATTGCTTTCTTTTTCTTTTTCCTTTTTTTTTTTGGTACCAGGGATGATTCAATTCATCCATGGGCAATTAACCACTGAACCACATCCTCAGCCATTTTTGATATTTTATTTAGAGACAGGGTCTCACTGAGTTGCTTGGGGCCTCACTAAGTGATGAGGTTGGCTTTGAACTCATGATCCTCCTGCCTCAGCCTCCCCAGCCACTTGTGCTCAACACCTAGCACAAATTCTGCTATGTGTAAGAGACACAACAAGGGTGTAGGTGAGGGGTGGGCCTACAGAGTGTGTTGGTCCTGCTTGGTGGGAATACTCTGTTCTGTGAGGCCCCTCCCCCCATGCTAGTCCAGGAGGCCAAGTGCAGGTGAGCTCACCTCAGGGAGCACAAGAGAATACCAAAGGGCTGAGTCACCGCGGAAGATTCGGAAGGACTCTATCAGAGATGAGGGGACAAGATCCCCAGTGGGGAGGACCTCCGCGCTCATGGTCACACTCGTGAAAAGTCTGGTTGGAGGGTTGTAGAGGGTGAAATGCACAGACACAGCCCTGGTGCTGTGGTCAATCCATCTGCTGGCCCTGAGTGCAGTCAGGGCCGCCTGGGCTTCAGGCCTGCAAAGCAGCACAAGTTCAGAGGGAAGATCAGGAGTCAAGCTTTGAAATCCACAGAAAAATTCAGCCACAGCCCCATGCTGGGACTACCTGGTGTAAGCCTTCACGAGGACAAGCAACACCTGGGCTTCAAATGGCCTTTCTCTATATTAGGGACACTCTCCCTAGAAGCTCACTGTTCCTCTCCCTATGTTCCACTCTCTTCCCTGCAACAGCCAAAGGGGTGCACAGGCAAGATGGAATCCAGGCCATGGGAGGTTCTCCATGCCTCACTTGTGTGATGTGAGGCAGAGATGCCCGATATTCCACCCCAAGTGCTCTAAAATATTCATTTTCCTCTTTGGGCAATGGTCTTCATTTTTAACATTTTTTATTAATCCATGTTTAGTAAAAATTAAATCATTTCCTTTTAAAATTTTCTAGTCCTCGAAATGCATATTACTGCAACTGTAAAGACTTCCTCCTGCTGTAAGCAGAACCCCATCCTGGTATGGGATGAAGGCTGCTCAGGGAGCCAGGAAGGTGGGGATGAACAAAGGGTTCTGGCAGGATGGGGCAGGCCACCTGACCACAGGTCTGGCCACAGTGTGGGCAGTGTCTGCTCCTCATCTTCCTGGTGTGACACGAAGAAGTGACAGTCCTACTCCACATCTGGGGACATGTAAACACCCTGATCAGCACAGTCAGCATAGAACAAAACCTCTGTAGCCTTGGGAGGCTCTAGTAACCACTTTTTGGGAGAACATTCTGCTCTCTTCTCCCCCATGTGCTTAGTCTGCAGGCCCAAGGCTGAGTTTTCTCACACCCTAAAGTACAGCTCTTCATCACATCACAGCAATAACAAGTACTGTGCAGGCCATGAAAGCGCTGTGCCTGCCTCTGGAGCCTGCAGCACCTGTGCAGATGGGCACATCCAGTGGTGTCTGGGCCAGGAGCTGCCCAGCAGGTTCAGATGAATGCTGGCTTCTGACTCGCACTGACCTTGTTCTGCCCAGGCTGAGCACGAAGTCCTCTTTTCTCAACCCCCAGACCCTGGGACCACCAGGGGTCACATTTTGGTTCTCAAAACCTCCATTTGCAGGGCTGCATGTAGGAGGAGAGTCCTCGAGAAGCGCTGAAAATGGCCTGGGAGGCTGTAGGACAAGCTACCAATTAGAAGAAGCCACTAACCGCTGTTCCCAGGTTCATTGTATTCTGGGGTTTCCAAGCCCTGCATGCACATAATATAACAAGGTGCCCTGCTCTACTCAGGACCATTTTTCAGCCTGTCTCATAGTCTCTGGGATCTAGCATGAGCTAGAGGGATCAAGGCTCTACCTATTGAAAGTCAGTACATGAGCAGTCTGAGGCTTGGACAGATGCAGATCCCATTAAGGGATGATACAAGTAAAATGTCATATTTTGGATATTTCTAGCAAAGAATATGTTAATATTTTATTTTTAGACTTTTAGATTTTAAAATTCTTGCTTTCACCTAGAACACCAGATCTCTAAGGAAAAACTGAACCAAGCAAACCTACTGCAGAATGCTGAGCCTAGGAGAGGCATTTGGAAACAGTCCACAAGGAGAGAAAGAAGGCCAGGCTCCCACTCTTCCCAGCCCTGGCACCTGACAAGTTCAAGTCACCTTTAGTGCTCTGAGAAGCCAATAGATCTGCCAGCTTCCAGCACCAGTGTCTCCCAGACTTTTCTAATTAAGTTTATTTTTAGAAGTAAAAGAAGGAGAACATCTTACCTTGTGTATTCTGCAAGGAGAAACTTTTTGCTGCTTAATTACTGAAGTGCCTATTAGGTAGCATTTTCCACCAAGGGCTCCAGGCTAAAGAACAGAAAGAGACTCAGAGGAAGGCGCATGTTGTAAACCTCAAACACCACCTTCAAGTCGTGCTAAGGAATCATGGGGATACTTGGTAACTGCCTAGTCTATCAGGGCCCAAATCCTTCCTTCTAAAAAACACTCCAAGGATGCAAGCAACATTCTAAGAAAGACACAACTCCCTCCCCAGCCTCATTATGGAAAAGGACTAACATCATTCAAAAGATGTCTTTATAATTTGCACTTCATAGGAATGATCTATTTTTATCTTTTTCTCAAGTTTTAATAATGTTGTCATTCCACAAAACTATAGAGAATAAACTAAATGAAATGAGAAAATGTTTGAGGACTGCAGGATAAACATACTTTATCTTTAAAAGGGGAGGGAGGAGAAAATAAAATATGAACAAAGAATTGGATTATACAAAAAGCACATTCACTTTTTCTTCTGAACTTGGGATCAGACTTGCCTTTTTCCGGAAGCTTCCTTGATGCCCTGTCTTAGCCATTTGCTCCTCCCTGCTCTGAGATGCTCCTTGTGCCTTTGCCATGGTATTTTACATACTGAACTAGATTCTTCCATCTCTGCCCCCCATGTCTCCCAGAAGTCCCCCTGTGTCTGGTTCAGCTCGGCAAGTGCAGAACATGGAGCATCCTGCAGAGCCCAGGAGGGTGACATGGGAGGAGTAAGTGGGCTCCAGACAGGAAAAGTAGTGGGGTGCTCTGTTGGCCAAGGCACCCACAGAGCAGAGTCACAGACCTTACAGCCACGTGGTTATTCAGGACCCAAACGGTGCTGCAGGTCCCCTGTCAAGTGACTTCTGGGGTGATGTGCAGTGAAGAGGAAAAGGAAAGCCCACCTGAGTCCCCTGAGTAGCAGCAGCGGCGGCGGCGGAGGGGCCTCCCAGGTGCAGCCCATCCAGGAGCGTGGTCAGACACCAGTCCCACCAGTCATCAGTGCTTCTCAGGCCCTCCAGGGATTGTCTGGCATTTCTTAATTCAAGAACAAAAACAACAACAAAAAAGTTATTTCTATATCCTTGAGAACAATCAAAATTGAGAACAAAAACTGGTTTTTCCCTTGCCAATTTTTAATTTTAGATTCTCTGCAGGAATTAAGTCAAGGCCATCCATAGCGTGAGGCACAAATCCTGGAATTCCCTTTACTCCTCCATGGCAGGAAAGAAAGGAGAAGAGCAGGCAAAGCACTTGTTCATTCACTCACACATTCACTCAACAAATGTTCCTGTGCAACTACTAAATGCCAGACCCTCTTCTAGGCACTGGCAATGAAAAATAAAATCCCTGCCCTCCTGTGGGGAAATGAACAGCAAATAAGATATAAGGTGGTCCCCTGTGGGTTCAACTCCGCAATTTTTTTGGCTGTACAATGGTGGAAAAGCATACCATCCAGCCAGTCTAATGTCCACTTTCAATAAATTCCATGAGATGTTCCACACTTTATTACAAGCTTTGTGTTAGATGCTACACCAACAGTAAGTGAATGTCAGTGTTCTTAGCACGTTCAAGGAAGGCCAGGCTAAGTTAGGAGGAAGATGAACTGGGCGGGTGGTGTTAAGTGCATTTCTGACTTAGGGTGCTCTCAGTATATGAGGGCTTTATCAGGACCTAACCCCATCATAAATCAAGGATCATCTGCATAAGCAAAACATACTATGTAAGTGATAAATACAAATGAGGGAAAATCTAAGCACGAATGACAGACAGAAAGTGGCAGGGTGAGAAAGCTGAAGGATTTAGTTCAAGTGGCTAAGGAATATATGAGGTGACCAGTCAGCAAAGGCCTGAAGGCCACAAGGGAGGAGTCTCATGGTCATCTGAGGGGGAGGTTTTCAGGCTGGAGAGGACAGCAGAGGAAGCCATATGCTTGGGAAGTTAGGAGTGGGTGGCCAGTATGGCTGGTGCAGAGGGTGCCAGACACCCAGACCAGGGCACAGTCCTCTCTCCACTGACTGGTGGAAGGACACGGTGTTTAACCTGCTCCCATAGTGTTGGATGAGTAGGCACAATTGAAGAGCAGCCTGGCACATAGTAGGACATCAGCAAATGCTAGTTTCCAATTAACTGCCTTTTTTATTACTTGGGGCTGCAACCGTATACATGCTAGGCAAACGAAGTACTACTGAGCTATACCTGGCTTATCCAGTTAGCTTTTTAAAAAAATGTTTTTAGTATTAATTAATTAATTAATTAAATTAGGTATATATGATAGCAGAATGCATTTTGATTCATTGTACACAAGTGCAGTACAACTTTTCATTTCTCTGGTTGTACATGATGTAGTGACACAGCACACTTGCAGTCATACATGTACCTAGGGTAATGATGTCCATCTTATTTTAGACACTTCTCAAAAGAAGATATACATTTACTCAGCAAATATACGGAAAAATGTTCAACATCTCTAGTAATTAGAGAAACACAAATTGAAACTACTCTAAGATTTCATCTCATGCCGGTCAGAATGGCAGTTATCAAGAATACAAACCACCATAAGGATTGGTGAGGAGTGTTGGTGGTGGGGGAGGCACACTCATACATTGCTGGTGGGACTACAAATTGGTGCAACCAATCTGGAAAGCAGTATGGAGATTCCTTAGAAAATTTGGAGTGGAATCACCATTTGATCCAGTTAGCTTCTTTATTGTATTCATTAGATGTCTGCTTCATTCTCCTCCAAGGGATGGACTTAAGGAAGCACTAAATTAATTTCAACCTGACAGAATGTACCATTCTCAGCTTGCTCAGTCAATGTGAAAGAACCATGTGCACCCAAGGCTACTGCTGGAAGCATGAGTCTAGCTCTGCACCAGAGCCAAAGTGTAAGGAAGGGAACAAATGTTCCTCAGAGCAGAGTCCTCCCACCTGGCTTCATATCCACCTGGACATGAATAAGGGCAAGGACAAGGTGCTCATGGCAATACCCATGGCAAACAGAAATGTAGAAGTTTCATCCAGATCTTTCTCCATGAAAAGGGGAGACCAGAAGACTTATTGGACACAGTGATTTTGTTGAAAATGATAAGATAGAGAAGGGTATGACCTGAAGTCATTCAAGTATACACAAGTTTAATTGTCCTGCCTATTCCAGCAACCAAGTCTAGATTCCTCCAAAGTACAAGCTCAAGATATGTTCTTCAAATGGTGGTCGTGGACTTGAGCAAAGTTAGGCTACAGAGATGGGGGTGCCTGACAACCAATTGTGCACTTCTCTTTCCAACTCCATGTTCAGGGATATCACCTTGGTAGCATGAAATGGACAATGGTGGGAGCATTTACACCACGGAAATTGGCAGGCAGATGCTATAAGCCAGTGCCCTTGTTCTCCAGAGAGAACAGGACAGTTAAATGTTGGCCAGCACAGCACAGAGAACACGTTCTCAGGCAAGAGTTGGAGTAGATATTTCATTGGTGATTGAGGGCAGCTTTTGGAGATAATTGAGAAAAAGTGTTTTAAAATTTTAGAGGCATGACAAAATTGGACAATATAAAAGGAAAAGAATCCAAGAAAAAGAGAAAAGTTATTAACATAGAAGTTAAGAGAAAGATGCAAAGAGTCTCAATGAACAATTTATATACACTATTAATACGTTCAAAATTTTCCATAACATGTGGGAATAAAACTCCAGCTAGCTAATTTGACTGGTTTTATTTCATCTTTCCTACAGATGGAGGACCTCCTCTCCATTCACATATTTGGGCTTCATTAGTTTTGCCTAACCTATGCAGGCTGCCTGTTGGGTGCTGATTCTCTACTTTCCCCTTCTCTGAAACTTTGGTCCGACTATATGTCAAACACAGAGCAAGTTGGAGACCTACCAAAACTTCAAGAGGATGGGAAGAAGAAACAGAGAGGTACCAGAGATGGGAACATAAAACAAGAAGATACAGCTCTGCAAATATTCACAGCCCCTGGGGAAGGAAAACATGAAAGATGGAGAGGCAATGACAGAAAGGGCAGGAGGAGGGGAAGAGGATGATCCTTAATTTTCAACAGAGAAATGTTAACCATCTGTTCTTAGAAGCAAGATTATTTGACAGATAAACTGACTATATACCTATCATCCCATATGCTCCTGTGTTATTATCAAATAAAGTAGTATAAATTTTATGGCTACATTGATTTTGCATAACTCCCTCCCTCCCAGGGCTGGGAATTGAACCCAGGGCTTCTCTCATGCCACGCAAGTGCTCTATCACTGAATACATCCCCAGACCAAGTTTGCATGACTTTTGAAGGAATGTTCTCACTGTCTGACTCTGGCCCCTGTTGAGATAACATGAAAGAAGCTACGTCAAGAAAGACCGGAGCAAAACTCAAGCTGAGACATCCCACACCAGAGTGAATTCATCTCACACGCACTCCTGGCACACTGGAGTGCAGGTAGTGAGCCAAATGAGCCAAGAATACTCTGGCTCTGTCTGTACTAATTACAGCAATTATATAAAACAGGCCTACAAAACTAGCTAAACAATGTGAGAGATAAAATCAGCCTCATTTTCCATGCCTGGCACTTGGACAGAGTGCTCTTTTCATTTACTGGTACTTTATTTTTGTTTTATTTTACTTGGAATTTTATGAAGACCTTATTGAGTTCAGAAACACTTCAAATGCCCCTTAAATATGACAGAATTCAATAATATGGTAACTTTTTGTGAAGACACAGAAACCCAGGAGCCCAACTCCTTCACTTTACAGATGAAGATTCTATAGCCTAGAAAGGACTGGCAGTCACCTGGTAGCTACAAGAAAGCCAGAAGCCTAGTCCATGTAATTCATTTCCCTCCTGGCCTTTAGCTCCTCTTTCTGGAATGCTACAAACAACAAGCCTTCAGGAGTTGTTGATGTTTCAGGATCAGGGAGTGGTGGATGGGGGTGCTAGTGAGGTGTTGGGGTAGTGGGGGGAGGTGGGGATGGTGAGGTGAGGCAGAGAGGGTCCAGTTTTAAACATTCCGATATGAACCAGGACATAAGAATGTATCCCTGCCTTGTGGTTAGACCATCCAGAGGTAGTGAGATTTTGCATCCTTGTGGAATCATAAGGTCTCTGAGAAACCACAGGGGTAATATCTGAGCGGTTCATCTAAGCATATTGGTCTCAAGTACGTGCGAGATCTCACAAATATTATCTCAGCTGTGATATTTCTGACTTGAATACCAAGTGGCAACAATTCATATGAGAAACATGTCAGATAATGCTGACTTATGAAATGTAAGATTAAAAAAATAAACTAGCCAAAGTCAGCAGTTTTTCGGGTTTGTATTTCCATTTCCAGAGAACGCAGCAAATCGTCATTTTGTTTTGCTCACATCGCCACCTACTGGCATATTTTGTGCACCTGCCCAGGTGAGAGACCTAAAAAGTCAGAAAGCAACAAAAATAATTGCTGCTTTTGCAATTGAGTAGGCAGAAAATATCACTGAGCTTTACAATAAAATGTTGTATAATTGAGCTCTGGAGAATCCAGATTCAATGAACTAGAACTTTCAGGTCTTACCACATTAGTGAGTCATAAAACTAACAAGGGGCTTGACATTTACTAGTCATTATCTGACTGGGTATCAATAAACCTCCCTTTTGCAGAAGATAAAAACAAATGTTCTTAAATAATAAATAAAATTATATGAATTTTCCATTCATTCCTGCAAAAAATATTTCTATCAAATTTAATTACTTAGTCAAAGGCAATACGCTCATAGAAATGCTATAAAAATCTGTTTAAAAATATTCTTTGGAGAAAGAGAATGTAAACCCCAGAACACAGAGAAATATTTTACTTTCTATTACTGAAGCCATTGAGAATATCAACTCATTCTGTGATCTTCAGATTTCAAAGTCACACTTCCTTGAAAAAACTATCAGACAGAATGTTTTTAACAGGTGAAATAAAGTCCAATTATGGATTTAATAACAACTTTCAATGAAAAAGGAATGCTAGATTTAAATGTATATGTTGGTTACAATGTGTGT